TCAGACCAGGATTGCCTGTAGTGATAGATGAGTAGGTGTGTTGGAAGGGATGGAGTCTGTAAGGAAGTTGGCTAGCATATGTGGGGAGGAGAGAACTGCCTCTTTGCTGCCTCCTGGCCATCTCCTCTGACATAAAGTAATAAACATCTTAAAATATTGACAGGCTGAACATTGAACTCCTGATCTTTCCTCTTACAGCCGTCAGTAACTCCATCTCTGTCAACATTAACTCATTCTTCCAGTTGCTCAGGACAGAAATCTTAGTCATTCTTGACTCATCATCCCTTTTTCACACACCCCACGTCAGGAAATCTGGTCTCTACTTTGAAAATCTAGCCACAATCTGACCACTTCGCACCACTTTCAGCAGCCTGGTCCACCATTATCTCTATTGGCAACAGCCTTGGAACTGGTCTGCCTCCTGTGTCCCCAGCCCTGCAATCCATTCTCAACCTGGAGCCAGTGCTTCTTCTGAAGTGTATATCAGGTCCTGACAGTTGCCTCTTCTAAGCCCTACATGGCTTCCTATTCACTGAAAGTAAAAGCCAACGAGTCCTCACAATGGCTTCCAAGGACCTTCATGATCTGGCCCCTGCCAAAGTCTCTGACCTCATTTCTATGTTTCCCCTTCCTGACAACTACCTAGTCTTTAGTCAAAAGTCACCTTAATATTTAAAACAGCAATCCTCTCTATTCCCCCCTTGTTTTTCCTTCAGCATTATCCTTCCCTCCTTTACTTTTCTCCATAATAATGATCAAAATCTATATTTTACTTGTTAATTTTATCTTTTCCTTCGCACTAGTGTGTTAGCTTTATTAAAGTAGGAGTTTTTGTCTGTTCTGTTTACTAGAGTTGGGCCAAGTACATAGTTATTTCTCAGGAAATATTTGCTTATCCATCTGTGGTTTATGGCCAGTGGCTTAGAGAGGTGACTAAGCATAGTAATTAAGTACATGGATGATACAGCCTAGTTCAAGAGCAAGCCTGCTTGGGTTCAAATCTTAGTTCTACCACTAATTAACAAAATACTTAAACTCTCTGTCCCTTAGTTTTCTCATCAGCAAAATAGGGACTATAATATTACCCACTTCAATAGAGAGCCTGGGGGCCATTAATAAGTGTAAAGCACTTAGTGCCTTGCACAGAGTAGGTGCTACATATGCATTTGCTATAATCATATGCACATGGAGTTAAGATTTATATGAGAAGCTTAGATTTTCTAAAATCTTTCAGTGTGTTGTAGTTGCCCATATTAACACTTATTTCTCATGTTTCTGCTCACACAGGTTGTATGATCATCTTGTAGTTTTATTTAACTCAAGTGGTCTGGTTCTTTTTTATCCGTTAACTTAGACGTTTCCTTGTGTACTCTCTCCTACAGTCATTTAGAAGCTGTTAAATAGTAATCTCGCTGGGCCTCTTTTGCAATCTATACAGTGAGTGGGTTGGACTAGATAATCTTGATGGGCCTTTCTTGCCCTGACAGTCTCCCAGGACAGGAGGAGGGACAGGCCCCACCCCAACCCCGCCCCCAGGAATAGGCCCTCTGGCTGCCAAGGGGAAGGGTGACAGTCAGCTGGGCTCAGCTTCAAGGGGACCAGGTAGGAGACCTGCCAAGTTACTTGGGTAAGAATGGTGATGGGGTTCCTAGGCTGGACCAGGCATCAAAAGTAACTGTAGTACAAAGACACTGGGGGCAGGGTGAGAGGATAAGTGAAGTTCCCTAATGGAGAGATGTTCTCTTCACAGGGACACAGCTGCTGTAGTGAGCTAGGAGGTAATTAGAGGTTGGGTATCTTCTCACATTGGAGAGTCATGGTAGGCCTCTACCCCCTTCAGCTGGCCAAGCTCTGGAAGACAGAGTCAGCTCTAGAATGAGAAAATCCCAGAAAACTGACTGTCTTCCTGGGTCCCAGCACTGCCTGCTACTCACCACTCCCCTGGCTGGACCAAGGGAGTTTGGGCAGGGGCCCAGGTGGCCTGGGTTATACCCAGATTTACTCCTCTCAGCTCAGCTGATGCTTCAACCATTGCCCTCCCTCATCTCTGCCTCCCCCGCCCTACCCTCTGGGTCAGGGCGGAGGGTAGGAGGGACAGGGAAATCCAGTACCCTCACTTCTGCCTTTTTCACCTCTAGGGGGGACCATGGCCAGTGCAGAATCCTCATTGCTCACAACCCTAGGGCCCAACTCAGATCCTGGCAACAGTGAGGTGGAACTGGACTGCTGGTTTGATGAAGAGTTCAAGTTCATTCTGCTGCCTGTGAGCTACGCAGTTGTCTTTGTGCTGGGTCTAATCCTAAATGCTCCAACCCTCTGGCTCTTCCTCTTTCACCTCCGACCCTGGGATGCAACGACCACCTACATGTTCCACTTGGCTTTGTCAGACACGTTGTATGTGCTGTCACTGCCCACCCTCATCTACTATTATGCAGCCCGAAACCACTGGCCCTTTGGCACTGAGCTCTGCAAGTTCATCCGCTTCCTCTTCTACTGGAACCTCTACTGCAGTGTCCTTTTCCTCACCTGCATCAGTGTGCACCGCTACCTTGGAATCTGCCACCCACTGCGAGCAATACGTTGGGGCCGCCCAAGACTCGCAGGCCTTCTCTGCCTGGCAGTTTGGTTGGTTGTAGCCAGTTGCCTTGTGCCCAACCTGTTCTTTGTCACAACCAGCTCCAGGGGGGATACCATCCTGTGCCATGACACCACTCGGCCTGAGGAGTTTGACCACTATGTTCACTTCAGCTCAGTAATCATGGGGCTGCTCTTTGGCATACCCTGCGTGGTCACTCTTGTCTGCTATGGGCTCATGGCCCGGCGCCTGTATCGACCTTTGCCAGGGTCTTCCCAGTCGTCTTCTCGTCTGCGTTCTCTCCGCACCATTGCAGTGGTTCTGACTGTCTTTGCTGTATGCTTCGTGCCTTTCCACATCACCCGCACCATTTATTACATGGCAAGGCTGTTGGAAGCTGATTGCCAGGTGCTGAACATTGTCAACGTGGTCTACAAAGTGACCCGGCCTCTGGCCAGTGCCAATAGCTGCCTGGATCCTGTGCTCTACTTGCTCACTGGGGACAAGTATCGTAGGCAGCTCTGGAAGCTCTGCAGTGGTGGCACCCCCGAGCCTCCCAGGGCTGCCTCCTCCCTGGCACTGGTGTCCCTACCTGAGGGTAGCAGCTACAGGAGGACAACCACTCCCAGGATAGTGGCTGCCCTACCCCTAGGGCAGATAAATTGTAGCACTCGAAGCCTGGAAGGAAGAGAAAAGGGGGTGAGTGCAGGGCAGAGGTGAGGGATCCTAATGGTGACAACTCATATTGTTGCTTCCTCTTAGTTCCAGGGCTCTGGTGAGAGGCCCTCCCTCTAAGGGTTAGGGGGAGCCAGGAAAATCACGTGTGACCCCAACTCTCATAAATCCTTCAGTTGCCCTCTACTTTTTAGCCAAAGGCAGTAGCAGCCACTCTTTCTCCTCTACTTCTTCCTCTTAGTTTCCTGGGGCCATTGGTCCTGTTTCTTGATCCTAGGAACCCTTCCCCAGCCTTCCTTCCCCTGCCTTTCCCCCACATGCTTGTATAGCATGTGTTACTCCAGTCAGACCAGAGCATTCAACTGGAAGAGTGGAGAAGCTGCCGTAATCTCAGGGTTGGCTTGATTTATCTGACGGTGACAGCCAGAATTAGGAGGTAGGGGCACCAGTATGTCACAGATGCCAAAGATGTGACATATGTAGCTCCCATAGCCACTTTCCGGTTTCCCTGTGAGGACAGGATAGTCTGGCCTACTTAGGTGCTGAAATAGGGCACAATCCAAGACAGCCTGAATGCCAGGGTCTCCACATGCAGCTGGAGGCATGGCACTATTGAACTGGTGGGTAGCAGCTAGGTAGAGAGGGAACCCTGAGTCTTACCATGGGCTGGGAATTTTGAAGAGTCTTGAGGGCATGGCCCAATCTGATAAAGTACTTTGGAACAGGAATGGGACAGGACCTCCTTTATGAAGTTTGCTGAGGGCATATCTGACAGTTCTGTATTTAATGAAAGGAAGAGGGGAATGGCTCAGAAGGGAGGGAGGAGCTTTCATGTCTATGGCTGTAAGTTCCAGCATTAAGCGGCAGAGCAGGTTTGTGCAGAGTTTGGGAGTGGTGACAGGGATTGACGTCAGAGCTGGCTCTTCACTGGTCTCTTCCATTTCTCTAGCTCCTGCCCTAGATAAATAATAAACAAGTCACCAGTTCTTTCAGATCAAGATTTATGGTTTTGAGGCCAGAGAAGGGCACTGGGACCAGGACAGCTCCCTTCAGAGTCTCGCATTCAGTCACCCACCCTCTCCCAGCTGCATCTTAGTGCCCTTAAGCATGGATACGGGCAGGGGTGGTGGTGGTGGTGGTGGTGGTGGTATGGAACTTGGGGAGCTAATTCACAAGCATTGGGAAGTAAGAGTTTCTGGGCAGGCCTTCAAGAGAAGGGTGGGCTCACACTTCTAGGCAACTCCTCCTGAAATGGCCTTCCAGCTCATTGGTCTCCTGAGTCTTCAGCCTTCCTTTTCTTTTGCCCCACCCTTGCTGACCTGCCTCTGATCTCTTATCTATTAGATTACTCAGTCTTACTAGTTCTCTCTGGAAAGTAAAGTTGGGACTGGTCTGGAGAAATAAAACGACTTCAATGCCCCCGAGTCCCCCTTTCTATTCTTTTAAGTGTGCTCTTTTCCTCTCTAGATATCCAGGACCCGGCTGTTACCCGGGACCCCTTTTAGGAGTAAATGAACTGGCCTTCTTACTAGTCTCCCAGTCTCATAGCCACTGCCTAACTCTTACAGAACCTGTTCCTCATCTGTACTCGCTTTCTTTTATTCCTATGACCACAGCCTCCTTGTCTATCACCTCTCCTACCCACAAGCCCGACCCAGGAAAGTGGCTCTCTCCATCACAACAGACCCAGCCTCCTCCATTTCTCCAGTCCATTTAACTCCCATATGCTTAATCGAGACTAACTCCCCAGACTTTGTGGTATGCTACTTTAGGACTGCCTTTCCTCTCATTCCAACTTTAGTTAAATACCTTAATTTTCACTGTGGGCCAATCTTTTCCTCTCTCCTAGATTATAGGAGACTGCAGATGAAGCCAGAACACAAGGATGTCTTGCAATTTCATTTAAACCTCCATTCCTTTTAGTCTGCTGAGATCCTAATGAACATTCCAGAGGGACTGTTTCCTATCTTTTACACTTTTTCAAGACACCAGTTTCATCCTACCCTATGTTCTGTTAAGATTTACCTTGCCTCCTGGGCCATTGGTCCTGTTTCTTGATGCTTCCTAGAACTGAGAAAATCTAATACCTCAACTTCTTTCTGCTTCATTTAGGATAACTTTACTTCTATATCCATCCCATCTTTCTCCCTTTCTTCCCTGCAATCCCAGAATAAGAGGTGGCCTCTTATTTAGTTATTTGGTGCATCTGTCTTCATCATTTTCAATCTCTTCCGTAACTAATTTTGTTCTGTCTTAACACACACACACACACACACACAAGCCAACCAAATGAAAATAAATATTACATTACCACTGATATCTTACTTTTATATATATATATTTTATTGAGTTTTTACAGAGAGGAAAGGAGAGAAATAGAGAGTCAGAAACATCGATGAGAGAGAAACATCGACCAGCTGCCTCCTGCACACTCCCCACTGGGGATGTGCCCACAACCAAGGTACATGCCCTTGACCGGAATCGAACCTGGGACCTATCAGTCCGCAGGCCGACGCTCTATCCACTGAGCCAAACCGGTTTCGGCTACCACTGATATCTTAACCTGCTGTCTCTTCTAGCTATCATTCTATTCATCTTATTCATTTCACTGTCTTTTCTAGAACAAGTACCATAAAACTTGTTTCCTCACCACAAAGTCACCCCTTAACTCTCCTAATTTGGTTTCCTTTCTACACTTTTTTGTATCTAGAACACAAATTACCTCATAAGCAAGACCTTTAATGATCTTTTCTCTACCTTTATTGTCTTTGACTTCTCTAGGATGTCCTTGTTGCATATTCCCTTTAAAATTTTTTTGTGTATTTTATTTTTAAAATTTATCTTCATTGCTGAAAGTATTACAGATGTCCCCTTTTCCCCCTATTGATTCCCTCCACCTCACTCCCACACGCCCCCCACCCCAGGCCTTCACTGCACTATTATCTGTATCCATGGGTTATGCACATATGCATGTAAGTTCTTTGGTTAATCTCTTCCTGTATAAAAACAGCACTAAAAAATTTCACTATGACAACATTAAGGAAATTTTGAAAGAAAATAATCACCTGTATTTTTAAACCCTCGACAACTGCTTTCATTTTTTCATGTTCTATGCTTTTTCAGTTTGTATAATACATATTTTATATAAGTATAATCATAGTGTACATATTTTTTGAAATTCTGCAAAAATATTTTATTGTAAATAATCTCTTTGTGCTACAGTATTTCCTGTTTATCATTTTTAAAGACTGTATAAAATTACATCTATCAGTAGATTATACTTTATTAGACTATTCCCCTGTTATTGGACATTTAGGTGACTCTCAATTTTTCTGTGCTTTGAATAACTTAATGCATACGACTTGTTTCTTTTTTGTAATTCTGTTCCTAGGACAAGTTCCCAGGAGTGGGACTGCCAGATCCAAGAACATGAACGTTTTTATGGATCTTGATTTTCAAAAGGACTACACAAATCTGCAACACCACAATGACACATGAGTTTTTCCAGTTACCTTACAGCTCTAGCATTGGACTTGATAAATATTTTGGAGTGATTTAAACATTAATTTGTTAATTCCACTGCTCTGGCTACTCATGTGATTGAACACTTCCCCATATGTTTACCATTTGCATTTCCTCTTGTGTTAACTATTTCTTCATATCCTTCTTCAACTGGCATTTCAGTGGTATTCTTATGTATCTAAATATATTCTTTAACATGCATATTAACTGTCATATTTGATATATATATTTCTTCCATTTATTGTAGTACTTTTAATTTTAGTTTCTTATTTTATCCCCCTAATTTAAAATTTATTTACTTCTACTTTTATCTCTCTTATTACTTCCTCTCTCTTTGCTGGATTCTCTTTATCCTTTACTCCCTAAAGTGAACAGAATTCCACGTTCAGTCATAGTTATAGCATTTGGGGATTATTTAACCCCGTCCCCCATCTGATCCTTGATTTTCTTAGTTGACTTATAGTCCTTGAGTACCTCAGAAATCTTCCAGGGCCTGGGCACTCCCTCACTTTACAGAGGACAAAACAGGCCCGGAGATATGACTTGCCAGTGACTTATCAAATTAGTGACAGAGTAGGTACTAAGTTTCAGGTCTCCTGATTCCCAGAGATCCTTCCATAAGCTTGAAAACTCTCAGGCAACTTCATCTCTTCTCCCTCCCTGTTCCATGAGATTCTGGCATTTCTTTCTTCATCGTGTCAATTACAATTTTATGATCCCAGTGCTACCATTCTAATACTGGCTCTTGCCACTTTATCTTTGACTGTCTCAGCCTCATAATTGGTCTTCCTTACCTCCAGCCTCTCCTCACAAGATTGCATTCTATACAATGCATACTGCCAGATGAATTGGCCCAAACACTGCTTTCGCGCTATTACTCAATACTCTTTCATGGTATCCCCATGTCTACAAGACAAATTTAAATTCTTTAGTCAGAAATTCAAGAGGGCTTTTTCAGTCTCATTTTCTATTCTTCCCCAATACAAATCTATCTTCTTCCACTCATTTGATCTCATTCTTTCTCCAAATAAGACTTGCACTTTCCTACCTCTGTACCTTTATTTTTCCTTTGCCCCACACTAGAATGCCTTCCCTTTCTTCTCCCACTGTCTTTTTCCTACTTCGTTACCAAGGCCACTTCCTCTTTGAGACCTTCTCTGCAGAATCTCACCCAGTGAACTTTCTGGTACCTCCTATGGTTATTATTGTCTATGAGTCATTTGTCACTTTTATTGTCTTTTGCTATCCTATAAAAGGGTAATATGCAAATTGACCAAACAGTAGAATGACTGGTCGCTATGACATGCACTGACCACCAGGGGGCAGATGCTCAAAGCAGGAGCTGCCTCCTGGTGGTCAGTGCACTCCTACAGGGGAAATGTTGCTCAGCAAGAAGCCGGGCTGATGGCTGGCAAGTGCAGTGGTGGAGGCGGGAGCCTTTCCCACCTCCACAGCAGTCGGACATCCCCTG